ACCCCCCCCAAAACAAGCCATTAAACAATTAGTAGTTTGTAAACTTTAAGAACCTTGAAGTGAAGTGAAGTGAAGGACACCGGGGTAACGTTGCAGCCAGATAGCTAGGACAATTAATTAATTGTTGCTATTATCAGTTATCCAAGGCTGTCCAGATTAAATCCACGGCAACCCAGAGTTATATCCAAACACAGAGCAGAGGAAGGTCCAAGAAGAATGTCTGGCAGGCTAAGGCAAACTAAAAAATAGTAAATAAATCACGGAGCTCAGCGTTTAGCGTCTGCCTCCACCGCCATCTTCACCTTCTTTCTCCTGCTGGATCAGACCAATAGTCCCCAATCCAGGCTGTCTTAAAATGCTGGGTTGGTTCTGTGTGTGTGTGTGTGTGTGTGTGTATGTGAGAGAGAGAAAGAGAGAGAGAGCTCTGTTAGCCTGACTACCTTATCTACGGCAAAGGCGTTATTAGATATTAATTTCGGTGGTGCTGCCCAGTGTATACAGGATGCGCAACCCGCAGAGGAAGTCCGGTTACAGATGGAGACGAGACTAATGTATGATGAAAGCAATTGGTTCCTTTTATTTCCTAACTCTACTTCACATAGATACGCAAAAACAGATTCACACACACATGCATACAAGATCCTCAGTATTACAGAAATAGCAAATAGTTACTTTTACACTAAAGGTATGGGTAAGGGAGTGGCAAATACTTATCTGATCAGAGGCTTGATCTTCCCAACGAAGAATAGGTGAAGTCAATAGAATAACTATAAGCACTCTACTGCACACGGTTGGAACCAGCCAAACACGTGTGGACCTCTAGGCTGCAGTCCACGAGGTCAGAGAGGAAACAAAGGGTTACAATAGCAGCAAGACTTCTAAGTTATGGCTAGTGGGGTTCAAACTGTTGAACCTCACTTTATATAGGGGGGCTCTTGGGGGCTGGCATTGATGCCATCCTCCTTGCCCTTCCCACCTGTGGTCCGTCCCAAGAACTAACACTATTGGGTATTGAATACTGACGTGCCTACCTAAGAGGAGTGGGCAATGTTGAAATCTAAACCTTTAACTCAAGGGATGCATCTGGTCAAGGTGTGAAGATGGGGCCAAGGCAACCTTTGATGTGTAGAGCGATGTGGCCTGGTCCCAAGCCATAAAACGACCATTCAACAGGAAACTGTCCTTTTTGATGCAAACCAGATATCAGGGTTACGTGTTTACCAAGAGTTCATCAATGGTGGTTATATTCATGCCTAGTTGTTTTGCACTGCGAGCAATGGCGATGCAGCTTCTTCCTCAGCTGAGCTGTGTCTGTGAGTGTCAAACTCTATTTGCATAAACAGCAGGCTAGGAGCTTGTCAGGTCACAGCATTTCAAGGCAAGCAGCTTTCTCCCAACCCATAGGGATTCACAACCACAGTCCAGGTGTGTGCATGTGTGTCAGCAATCACGAACATACATACATTTATATCAGAAATGACACACAGGCCAACACCTCCTCCTCCTCTTCTTCTTTACAACCCCTTGGCTTACAGTTGTATTTTCAAATGGCCATCCCTATTAGAACTTTACACTTCAGAATCAGTGTGCTTATTAAACCTGTGTACTGGTGATCAGTAACTACACAACTTATCTCTTTCTCCCCACACCAAATATTTTTGTTCTTGTGCGAATGTGAATAAACAGACCCTGGAGATGAGTTATCCTCCCATCAATCAGTGCTCTTTATTGGAACGACATGCAAAACTAAAGCTTATCGGCAAGGCTGCAGGAAAAGCGTGTGCTGGCCAGCTCCCGGTAAAGCTCAAACAGCCTTTCAGAGGTGACCTGTCTCCAGATAGTCCATGTGGGTTGTCCACTTCCTGCGTATAACTGCGCAGAGAAGACTTGTGTTAGCCATCAGGTCAACGTCTTCATGGGCGGTCCTCAGTGCCATTGTCATTTTTATACTTTTTAGTTTTGATCTCCTTGCATAAGATGTGCTGTTATTTGGTCTTCTGATTATTGAGTTCTAAGCCCAAGCATAATTACAAACAGATTAATGCAAGATTGGATCCTTATCATTCTACATACTAGGTTACAAGATATGGACGTTAATACCGTCCTTGGCATAAGAGTGTGAAGTTGGCATTAATGGGGGGGTTAACGTTCTAAGTGTGGGTGCCTCCTAAATACCCCACACCAATTTAGGTCATGATCAGCCCTCGTGCCTATTTTTCTGGATCTTATGTTTGACACTGGATCTGGACTAAATTTCCCATGAACTGAAGGCACTTCTGTCAGCAAAACAGAACTTTCTAGTCTTTTCCGCTGTATCCTACTGATCTCCCTGAAATGCTGTTCCGGGGGAATCCAGTGAGAGATGATACAGCTAATTCGGTGATATAGCCTAGCCAACTATTTATTTGTCAGGTTTTTGATGTCCTGTATTCATGTATAATCTATATAATTTAAGAGGCAATGGGACAGACCAAATGTATTATTTGTATTAATTGATGATATTGTATTTTCAGATTTATGCCATATACTAATCATATTAACTGTCTGTATCAATTTCATAAGCAAATTAATTTTTGATTGGAAAGCTAGTGGTTAAAAAATAACAAGTGGGAACGTCATAATAGCGATGAAACTCCAGCAGAATAAGGGTTCTGAACTAAATAAGTTAGATGGAAACAAACAGCTGAACTTTAAGCTGAATAGGAATATAAGTAATATGCAATATTGGGATACCCAAGATAATGGTGTGCATGAGATGAGAAGGATTGCAGAAACTATGTACTTAATTTTTTTTAATTAAATTTTTATTCAGAAAAATTGAAATACAATTGTTAGAGATTATTAAAGAAGGCAGTAAGTTGCAATGTACATAAATAACAGTATCATAACAATCTCAACTACTACAAACCAGAGTCGTTGTCTTAAATACAGGTAATGCACTACATCAGACAATTCTATGTGGGAAACAAGAAAAATGACAACACAGAGTTAACTGGAAATAACCAACGTAGCAACTGAATGGGTCGCAATGTCTATGGTAGAAAAGTTTACATGTCCCAAAACTTTTTGAATAAATGGAGACCATTTCTTAACGAAAAAGAGTTTCCGTCTTTCTATTTCAGGGTGTTCCAGTTCCACCGATATTTTCTCAAAGACAAAATAATCCCAAGATTTACTATACCATTCGGATAGAGTGGGAGTCAATGCAGATTTCCATTTGGAAGCCAAAACCGTCTTTGCTGCGGCTAACAGAGTGATAGAAAGATCTTGAAGGTGTTTAGGGATATGTGAGGTCTCCCATAAATTTAATAACACAGTAGTGGGTAGAAAAGGAATTTGTGATGATGTAATAGCATTTATTTCTTTAATAATTGTAATCCAATATTGTTTTACGATCGAACAGGACCACCAGAGGTGAAAATAAGTTCCGACAAGACCACAGCCCTTCCAACATACAGGAGAAATTGAATTAGACAGATGTGATAGTTGAAGTGGGGTTTTATACCATCTTGCCAATAGTTTATAAGACTGTAATTGTATATTTAAGCAGGAAGAGGTTAATGCCGAGGAGCTCCAAATTTGGTCCCATTGATCAGAGTTTAAGGTTTGAGCTAGATCTTTATGCCAAGATTTTTGGTATTTGAGCAAATGAGAATTGTTAGATTGCAATAATATAGAGTAAACGGAAGAAATCAGGCCTCTAGAAGGTACAGAGTCATTATTTAATAAGCTCTCAAAGGCAGTAAGTTTTAAACGCATTTTGGCGCATTTTGAGGAATTAAGGAGGTGTCTGATCTGAAAATATTCAAACCACGGTATTGTTAGGCCAGACGAGCCTTTGAGGAGGGATTTAGGTTTGATTTGCCCTTGCAGTGTAATATCTTTAAATCTTGTCAGGTTTAGAGTTTTCCACACTTTGAATGAATCGAGGTGCTGCGCCGGGGGAACCAGGATTGTCCCGTAAAGTTCGTTAGCAGTGATATGGGAGGAACCAACAATTTATTGTATTTGTTCCATACCTTAAAAGTGGCAGGGATAAAAAGGTTGTCCACCTGTTTAAAGAGGTTATACTGTCTATAGTTCCACAACGCTTCGTGGAAAGAGTTTGTTGGGAAAAAATTGTCTTCCATGACTTTCCAGTCAGCATGAAACGTTACGCGATACTATTTAATTAAATTGATTAGAAGAATTGAATCGTAATAGAGCTGTATGTTAGGTACCGCTAAGCCTCCGTTGTTTTTTGTTCTAATTATTGATTGGAGATTAATTCGTGGTTTTTTATAATTCCAAATAAAATTATTTATTTCAGTTTGCCATTTTTTAAGCAAGGAATCTGGGACGATAATAGGAAGTGCTCTAAAAATAAAAATTAATTTAGGGAAGATAAGAGCTTTAATGATTTTAATGCGTTCTAAAAGATTGAAAGATGGTTGAGACCATTGTTTCATTAAAGTAGAGATTTGGCTAGAAACACATAGATGGTTTAATTTTAACAATTGCGAGAGGTCAAGGGGGATGTGGAACCCAAGGTATTTAAAAGAAGTGGTGACCCATTTATACTTAAAGCAAGATAGGATGTAAGCTTTAGTTTCCGACCTTACGTTGATTGGATATAGCAAAGTTTTTTCAGTATTGACCTTTAGGCCCGAAATTAGACCG